TGGCAGTGCTCTGAGTGGCCAGCCAAGCCAGGCCACCCTAGGCCAGGCTGCCCTCCTGGGGACTGGGAGGGCTATGGTCCCAGATGGATTGGATTACAGGCCCCACAGGGCACAGCCCTTGGGCCAACCAAGATATTTACAAAGTGAAGTCTGCCCACTGGCCTGCTCACTTTGAAGTCACCTTTGGAGCCACCGGGCACCCTGCAGGGTCTGTCTCAGAGCCCAGAGAAACAAGGAACCAAGGAGACTTAGCGACCGACTGACCACCTCTCACGGGACCTGGAGTGGCCAGCATGTGGTGGACAGAGAAAGGAGACCAGTAGGCCCAAGGGGCTTGGAAGAAGCTAGACCAGACTTATGGGTCACAGGTCTCAGAGCTGTGCCCCTCCCCCAAGCCTGCCACCACCAATGCCTTTCATAGGGGACAGCGGGCAGCTGGCGCCAAGAGGCCCAGGAGGGCGGGGACAGCCAGGGCCTGCTTGTTAAATGTCCCCCAGTTTCCTGTGGTGAGGGGCAAGATAAAACACACGGGCCACATGAGTAGAAGTGGACAGTATCTGGCCACCAGGTTGCTGTATAAAATCAAGGACTTGTGGCTGTTAATGTGTCCTCCAAAGAGTGGAGACATGGTAACATCTGGACTCAGCCACTGCAGACAGTGAGGACATGGTGATGGTGATGTCAGGATTCAGCCACCACAGACAGAGAGCGTTTTTTAATCTAGGATCTTTGTTTTTCCTGCCTCAAATCACATGCATCCCAGGCTGGCCTCAAACTCACTGTGTAGCACAGGCTGCCATTGAAGTGACCCACTCTCCTCATTCCCCACCTCCAGCTCCAGGGTGCTGGGATAACAGGCATGCACCATACCTGGTGGATGTGTTGCTGGGGATGGAACCCAAGTTTGGTGTGTACTGATTGAGCAGTCTGGCCCAGCCCCTAATTTCCTCTAAAATTAAAAGATGCCAGAAGTGGTTACATATGTCTCTCATTCCAACACGGGGAGACTGAGGCAGGGTTTCTCTGTATTGTTTTGGAGCCTGTCCTGGAACTGGCTCTGTAGACCAGGCTGGCCTCGAACTCACAGAGAGCCACCTGTCTCTGCCTCCCGAGTTCTGGCATTATAGGCATGTGCCACCACTGCCCAGCCCCTCTGAAGTCTTAATGCTATCCTGCCAGCCTGTCATCCTACTGGTCTCTGAATGCTAACTAGCTAACTACCAAGCCAAGAGGGTCCACACTATGTCCCCAGGGCTGCCCTGCAGAACCTTGGTATACAGTAGGTGTCTAATAATTGTCGAATGCCTATATACACAGCCAATGAACCACAGGCCAGTCTCAAGGTTAATGGTACATGCCTGCTAAGTCACAGAGGGAAGGGGTGCCAGCAGGGGTCACAGAGGGAAAGGCCTCCCTCGTTGGCACGGGGGGGGGGAGTGCATCATCGGGGTGGGGGCCACAGAGGGAAGGGTGCCATGCCATGGGGCCACATAGCAAAGGGGTGCCGTCGGGGGCGGGGTGCCACCTGCAGCAGTGTGCCCCATCCTCCTCCGCCCCTGTGGAAGCAGCGCTGTTCAGTGGAAACAGAAAGAAGAGGAATTCAGTCATCAAGGCAGCCCAGAAAAAGGAGGTCCGGGGCAGAAGTCAGGAAAGATTTGAGGTACCTCAGTAAGGGTGGATCTTCCCCAGGTTGGGCTCACATTGGTGCATGCACGGTTGCAAGCGCCTGTGCCCATTTTTTTTTTTTTCACTGGAGGGTTGGGAAGCAGCAGATAGGGTCACCCCTTGAGGCTGTCTGAGGTTAACCGCTTGGCTTACAGACCACTGGAAGAAAGATTTCAGGAAGGCAGGCAGCTTCAGGGACTGATTGACTCAGGAGTCCAGGAACCAAGGGTGGCCATCTCAGGGCCTCGGAGCCTCAGGGCCTCAGCGCCTTGCCCACCAGAAGGCACAGTGAGTGCCTCAGGCTGGCTGAGAGATCAAGCTTTCATTTAGGCCCTAACGTGTGTATACTCTTGACTATTGATTCCCAGCGTCCAGATGGAGACTATCACTTAGCACATCTGAATATGTCACTCAGCCATGCCCTGGATCCACAAGCCTCTCTGGAAACATGGGGGATCCAAGGATCTCCAAAAACCCCCCAGGAAAGGATGTTACACAGGGTTTCCTCTACCCTCTCTAGAGGACTCTAGATCTTTCCGGGACTCAACAGGCAACCTGGTCTGGGGCTCCAAAGAAAGGTAAGTGGGTAGGACTAAGTAATGGGTTTCTCTTATTGGTCCTCTTTCCCGTCACTCTCAAGCCCCTCCCTCACGAGGATCCACAGGGCCGCCCTGTCCCTCCCGGGCAGATCCGAACTGGCTTTGAGAGGGGAGGTTTCTCTGCCTCGACAACCTGAGGACTCTGGTGAGAGCTGGGGAATCCAGGGTCGATCTTGGGGCATCCCATGGGAGGCGGGAGACATGAGACTTTCCTGGGAGAATCAGAGGCCCCCTAAATCTCTACACGGTAGACAATTCCGCTTTTACAGGAGACTAACTTTTACCGGAGGCTCTAACTTTTGCAGCACTTGCCTCTTGCTTGGCCTGGACACCCTGAGATTTTGGAGGTGGGGACTGAGTTCCTGAGTGCCAAGGAAGGTGGATTGTACCGTCTTGGGTCTCCAGAGTTAGAGCTGTGCTCAAACGCACGTCCCGTGCTTCCTGGCCTGTGGCTCCACCCTCCTTCCCCAGTACCGAGTCTCCTGTCCTCCAGAGCAATCAACACAGCAGCTTCGGTTGTAAATAGTTTTAACAGCCCTGCACTGGTCCCAGCCGCTAGAGCGGGTGTAGGGGTGGGGAATGTAGTGGGGAGTGTGACCATTGCATAAAGCCAGGCTTGTTCCACACCGGGCCTGGTGCAGCCCTCTCTTGGAATCTCTCAGATTCAGTCTTTTGTTTCTGTTTTGGTAATTAGTTTTTGAAATGGCCTGGAACTTGCCATCCCCATGCCTCCACCAGTAATTCTGAGATGACAGCATTGTCATCAAACCAGGCAGAAAGACTCCCTTGACCACTTCAAAACCTTGATTATGCAGCAGACTTTGACCCTGGGGGCTTCTCTGGCTTTCTCAGCAGAGAAAGTAATCTTGTGGGCGGGGTGTGAGAGGGCTGGTCAGTTTCTGGCAGCTGGAGCCAGCTGTAGGGAGGTCACAGACCCCAAGAACTCAGAAAGTGCTTATCTGCAGCTGCAGCGGCCTTTGCTTGGGGGTGGGGCCTCCAGGGGAGTCTGATTGACTTCAAAGGGTCAGTTAGGCTTTGCTGCTCACCAGGTGAGGTAACAGTAACCGTGCTTAAGTGGCGATCACAAGACTTGAATGAAGCATGACCCTCATCACCTGACTGCTCTGTTGGGAAACCTTTGTTACAAACAGGAAGCTGCAGCCTTCACTATCAGCAGTTAGGTTGTGGTATGCCAGACCGGTTTATTGAACATCCCACAGATGCCACCACCCAATCCACCAGAAAGTCTGAGCTGTAGATAATGGGAAGCAAGCTTCCCAAGGATTTGAGCCCCTCCCAGGGGCCTCTGGAGTCAGGATCAGGGGCCAGTGAGTTGGCAGGGACAGATACCTACCTGAGTTTGATTTCCAAGATTCATGGTGGAATGAGAAAATCTAACCCTACAGGTTGTCTTGTGACCTCCACATGGGCACACAATGGCAAGCATATGCTAACATAGACTCATGCTAAATAATAAATAAAATGTAAAAAATAAAACAAAAAGCGGGTTGGGGTTGTGTCTCAGTGGGCAGCCCATGCCTGTCATGTGATAAGACCCCTGGGACCCACCCCAAACATTGTACACACACACACACACACCAAAACAGTCCCAGTATCCAGGAGTTACTGGGTTCAGGCCTGTCACATCAGAATTTTCTGGAACACCAGTGTCTGAATTAGGGGAAACCTTTAGACTCAGTGTGGATATGAGTTAGTGGTGCTGGGTGGAGACAGCATGGCCTATCCTGATTCTGCTTACAATGAACTGAGGCTCCAGTTTCCCTCTGATGTGGTCTCTCATTGGTTCAAAACTATTTTTTGAGACAAGGACTCATGTAGTCCAGGCTGGCCTAGAATTTGTGATGTACCTGAGGATGACCTTGAAGTCCTGACCTTCCTCCCAAATGCTGGGGTAAATAGGTATGTGCCACCACTCCTGGTACCTGTGGTTCTTGGGCATCACTGGGACATGCTGGCTCTGCCCACTGACCCCAGCCCCTGGTTTTTGAATAGGTGATGTTACTTACCTGGCCTAAAATTTAGGGACCTGCCTTCTACCCCCACCCTCTATCTGAAACCTGTCCTTAGTCTGTCCATTTTCCCAATCTTCTAACATCTACGTGAAGATAAAATCAGGCTGGAGAGATGGCTCAGCATTTAGGGCATTTATTGCCCCCTCAGGGGATCCAGGTTCAGTTACCAGCACACACTCGGTGCCTCATATCACCTAACTCCAGCCCCGGGGGACCTGATGCCCTCTCCTGCTCTCTGGCTACTGCATGCACCTAAAACAAAAATGTAAATCTTTATAAGATTTATTATATTTATTTTTGTTCTTTTGAGACAGGGTTGAACTCTGTAGACCAGGCTGGCCTGGAACTCACAGAGATCTGCCTACCTCTGAGTGCTGGGGTTAAAAAGGCCTAGGAAACCTGTCACAAACATGAGGAATTAAGAGTTCTAAAGTTAGAGATTGGGGGTGTGGTCAGGGTGGAGCCCCCCCAATCCTCCTGTGAAGGGCTGGGGGAGTGGTCAGGGGTGCAGCTTTGCTGAGTGCCTGGGGCAGTGGGTTGGCTCTCTAGTACCAAAGGGTCAGGGGTTGGGAAGGAGCTATGTGAGCTATGCCTCACCTTGGACCTTCTGAAATGATGACGGGGCTCTGAGAGGTTCATAGATCAACTCTGCTTCCTGTGTTCATGGAACAGACTATCACTTGACTATCTCTTTTGCCCGAAGCACCTGCTGCTGAGACAATGTCTAGCAATGGGACAGATGCCCCGACTGAAGCCCAGGCTGCTGTGGAAGAACCTGTCCCACAGGTGAGGGGTCTGAGTTGCAGGGAGGTCTGCAGCTTCTGAGAGTGCTCTGCCAGCAGACTGCTGGGGTTGGGGAGGGGCAGCCAGGAGAGAAGTCTAGAGGTCTGCCTCCCTCCCTCCTTCCTTCCTTCCTTTTCTTTTTTCTTTTAGTTTGGGACAGGGTCTCACTATGTAGCCCAGGCTATCATGGAATTTGCAGAGATCCCCCTACCTCTGCCTTCTGAGTGCTGGGGATTAAACACCTAGGGCCAGCCCTTCATCCTTTTCTCTCCTTTCAGTACAGGGTCTTGTGTAGCACAGCCTAGCTTCAAACTCACTATATGGCCAAGGATGATTTTGAATTCCTCTTACATGCTTCCCTGCCTCCCATCTCTCTGTCTCTCCCCAACACTTTCTCCATCTGTCTATCTCTTTGAGATTATCATTTAGACCAGGCTGACCTCCAATTCACTATGTAGCCCAGGATATCATAGTCATAATAGAACCCTTGAGGCTCCAGTCTATGCTGAATGACATCATGTGTTGTGGCCCTAGGTTTCTGGGGATGGAACATAGAGCCTGTTATGTGGTACAACAGTGCACTAACAAAAATGGGGTGCTTTAGCCAGGCATTGGTGGCCCATGCCTTTAGTCCCAGCACTCGGGAGGTAGAGTCTACAGAGCTAGTTCCAGGATAGCCTCCAAAACAATACAGAGAAACCCTGTTTTGAAAAAAAAGGGGGGGGGTGTTCCTTTGTCTGCCTGACTCTTCACTGTGTGTTCAGTCTGGTGCTCAAACGAGTGAGTAAGCCACCAGAAGCACGTGATGGAACCTTCAGGTTCCTGCCTTGTGCAATTGTTCATACCAGCCCTGCTGGCCTGCTCTCCCAAAATGAGAGCATGCCTGTGGGTCCCCCTAGCTCCTAGCCCAGTCTCCTGCCCCCCACAGCCCAGTGTGGTGGACCGTGTGGCCAGCCTGCCTCTCATCAGCTCCACATGTGAGATGGTGAGCGCAGCATACACCTCCACCAAGGACCGCTACCCCCACGTGAGGACCGTGTGCGATGTGGCTGAGAAAGGTGTCAAGACCCTCACTGCGGCTGCGGTCAGTGGGACACAGCCCATCTTGTCCAAGCTGGAGCCCCAGAGTGAGTTGAGGACAACAGGGGAGGAGAATGCCTCTCATGGCTATCTTTGGAGGGGATCACCCCCACTTCTGGACTCCAGTCCTCTGAAACTGGCCTTGGGTGGCTATCCCCATTTCTGAAGGGCAATTACAGTGGGTGTGTTTTCTCTGGTGTCCTGCAGTTGCTTCGGCCAGGGAGTATGCGCACCGAGGGCTGGACAGATTGCAGGAAAGCCTGCCCATCCTCCAACAGCCGACTGAGAAGGTCAGTGCTAGGTCAGTTTTCCCTGTCTTGAGGCCCTGTCTGGACCTGCCAAGTTCAAGCTTTATACACAATACATATATGACAGTGCTCACTGTTACCACCTGCATTGGATAGAAAGATCTTGAAGGTTGATCACATCTAGTGATAATATCATCTGGATCCCACTGAACTCACAGCAAACGGCACTCAGTATCATCTGGTCTGGCCCCTCAAGTGTCATGCACAGTGTAGATGGAGATACACACCCTTAGAAACAGTTGTAAGCCTTTGGGAAGGAGCCTAAACCCAAGAAGGCAGGGGATGCATCTACAACAGATGCAGGCATTAGAGGCCTGCCCCAGGACCTTTAATGAGCTATTCTTAACTGAACCAGAAATTCAGCTCTCTGGTCCCCAAATGAGGGGGGGGTTGTTGTTTTGTTTTATTGTGGGGAGGTTTTTTATTTTTGTTTTAGTTCGTTCTTTTAAGACAGGGTTTCTCTGTGTAGTTTTGGAGCCTATCCTGGCACTCACTCTGTAGACTAGGCTGGTCTTAAATTCACAGAGATCTGCCTGTCTCTGCCTCCCGAATGCTGGGATTAAAGGTGTGCACCACCACCACCTGCCAACAGGATCTTTCTTAGATAGCCCAAGCTGGCTTGAATGTTCAGTGTACCCACTGACCACTCCCCAAGCCCCTCACTGGGGGATTCTAGACAGGGGCTCCATCCTTGACCATACATGCCCCCAGTCCCTCACTAGAGGATTCTAGGTGGGGCTCTATTCCTGACCATACCCCCTGCTCCTCACTGGAGGATTCTAGGAAGGGGCTTCAGCTAGCCCCCATTCCTATCTGGCCTCTGAATCAAATACTGTATAGCTGCTTTCCAAAGGGGACAGGCTTCATTTTCATGTTCTTCTGGACTGGACCCCTCTATTTGCCATGCCCAGGAATAGCGTCAACCCCAGGACAATAGGACAGAGGCCCCTGCACAGAGGCCCCACATCTGGATGTAGTCACAGCTGGAGATATCCCAGCAGCCCTCTCTCTCTATCAATTCCAGCACTTTTTCTCTGAACACAGATCTGCTTAAAGGTGTCCTTCAGAGTGCTCCTCCCATTACTGAAGGGAGCACTTTATGGTCAGATTCTCCTGATTCATGTGACGGAGACAGATCTGTGGCTCTGGGCTTTGCATTTGAGAGGGGCTGAGCTGTTTTTCATGTTCTGGATGATAGGGAGGTCATTTTACCTCTAAGCCATATGGGACCAGCATGTGGTCAACATGGCATTTAAACCTATTACATAGACTGCAGTGAGTTTAGGGTTGGAGCAGCCTGGAATACCCTATGTCAAGAATAAATAGGGCCAAGATAGTTTAGTGAGTAAAGGCAATCAATCACACCCAATCCTAAAGACCTGGGTTTTATTCCCAGGACCCACAGAGTAGGAGAGAGCTGAGTCCTACATATTATCATCTGACTTCCACACCTGTGCTGTGGCACACACACGTAAAAAGAAATTTAAGATACTTATCTAAGTCATTAAGAGGCTAGAGAAATGGCTCAGTGGTCAAGAGTGTTTGTTGTTATTCCATAGGACTTGAGTTGGGCTCCCATTACCCATTTCAGACAGCTCACAACTGCTTGTAACTCCAGCTGGCCTCCGAGGGCACCTGCACAGAGAACATACACCTATATAGATGTATAACAAGTAAAAATAGTATAAATCTTTTTATATATAATTTTTAACAAATTGGGAAGGATACAGGTTCAGCCAGGATCACCTTCAAATAAAAAGCAAAGACACATAGAGATTGAGTGATTTGCCTGGGACCATGTAGCTTGATGTGATTTGAATTTGGAACATTATTGTACTTTGAAGTCTTTTTTTGAGATACTAGCCTTGGCTAACCTAAAACTCACAGAAATCCACCTGCCTTCCTAGTGCTGGGATTAAAGATGTGTGCCACATTGCCCAGCTATGAGGTCTTAACCACACAGGGGCTTGAGTGACCCCTCTCTGGCCTCCCTGGGTGGGGGGTCTGGGTGTGGAAGGATGCTAACATGTCCCGTCCTGCAGGTTCTAGCAGACACTAAGGAACTGGTGTCATCTACAGTATCTGGAGCCAGAGAAATGGTATCCAGCTCAGTGACTAGTGCAAAGGACACAGTGGCCACCCGGGTGACTGGAGCAGTGGATGTGACCCGGGGGGCCGTGCAGAGCAGTGTGGACATGACCAAGTCAGCAGTGACCAGCGGCGTCCAGTCGGTCATGGGCTCCCGAGTGGGACAGATGATGATTAGCGGAGTAGACTCAATGCTGGTAAAATCAGAGGCCTGGGCAGACAACCGCCTGCCCCTGACAGATGCAGAGCTGGGTGAGTAACCTCCCCTGGCCTTAGTGCCTATACTTGGTCCTCCCCACAACTGCCACCCTCCTCTGCCCCAGCCTCTGGTGGATTCTGTCCATCCACCATTTCGGTTCCAGGAATCAAACTCAGTCAGGCTCCTCAACAAGCTTTTACCTAGTGAGCCATTTTTTGGTTCAAGGATGACCCCCTGCCTCCACCTCCCAAGTACTGGGGAGACAGGTGTGTACCTCCACCCTGTGGTCTCAGTTCCTCATTGGCTGGCCATGAGCCCCCAGTTCTGTGGGTTTTAAGTGGCACATAGCCATGCAAAGCCAGAGCAGCACTCACTCCCAACCAACAGTGACCCTCTGTGGAGGAAACCTAACTGCACCTCAGCAGATCCCCGATACAGACACCAGCCTGTGAAGGAGTGGGGTATAATGTATGAACAGGAACCAGAGGCTCTGTGGAGGCTGCTCCTGTCTGAGCAGCCCTTGGTTTTAACAACTGCCCTCCCAGATGCATCCCTGGTGGCTTGTGGGTAACACCAGGTAGGGAATAGTAGAGGCTTATGGGAGCTAGCTTTGAAACCCAAACAAAGGGGCCTGGACCTGTTACCCCAGCATTTGGGAGGCTGAGGCAGGAAGAGGGAGATGTTCTAGGCCAGTATGGGCTACTTAGCAAGCCCTGTCTCAAAATACAAGAATCAGCTTCAGTCTGGGGCTGTGGGCAGAGCATTCACCTAGCACACACAGGGCCTTGGGTTCCATCCCTGGCACAACATAGCCAAACATGGTGGCACAGACCAGTTGCCCCAGCACTTGGGAGATGAATGTAGGGGGCCCGGGGTTGCAGGCCAGCCTTAGTCTTTTCCACCCCTTCCAGTTCAGGCCAGTAGAGCTGCCTGTCTCCCAGGGACACAAAGCCTGTCTCCTCCCTGTGTCACGCCACTGCCCATGGCTTTCTGCCCTCGCCTTGGCTAAAAAACACAAGGCTGCTTTCACTTCCCAGGGTGCACCCCCCAGCTTCCAAGAGAGCTGCCACAAACTGGCTGGCCAGGACAAAATGTAGCCATTTTGTTTTGAAAAATCCACTGTGAAAGGAGAAATGGGAAGGGAAAACAATTTTTTTTTTTTCAGAACATAGAATTTTGCCTAGTGTGAGCCCACACATCTTTAATCCCAGCATTTGGGAGGCAGAGGCAGGTGCATGTCTGAGTTTGAGTGAGATGCTGTCTCCAAAAAGAAAAAAAAGCACGAAGGCCTCTGAGTCTCTGAGTTCGTGGGCCAAGGCCACAGGTTGGCCTCTGTCTGCCCAAGCCGTTCTTCCTCTTGGTTTTTGAGACCTGGGGCTCACAGATTTGGCTAGGCTGGCTGTCCAGGAGAGCCCTGGGGGTTCATCCTCCGGTCTCCTCCTCAGTAGAAGGCTTTCTTGAACCAACAGCTCCCAAATCATAACATGGAAGCTTATTGTTAATTATGAATTTTGGCCTTAGTTCAGGTTTGTCCCACTAGATCTTAAAACTTATATTAATCTTGTTTCTCTTCGTCCACATTTTGCCTTGGGGCTTTTTACCTTTCTTTCTGTGTCCTACATTCCTGCTTCCTCTGTGTCTAGTCCCAGCATATCTCCCACTCTTTCGCCTCTCTTGTGCTGAGATTCCTCCTCCTATTTTTTCTCTCTGCCTGCCAGCCCTGCCTATACCTCTACTGCCTAGCAATTGGCCGTTCAGCTTTGTATTAGAGCATTCAGATGCCTTTGGCAGGCAAGGTGGAACAGCAACACCTCTTTACATAGTTAAACAGTTTTCTGCCACACATTTCTACATAGTTAAAGGAATATTCTATTCTACAACACTCCTCCCCAGTGCTAGGCTTACACATTTTTTGTTTGTTTGTTTGTTTTTCGAGGCAGGGTTTCTTTGCTTTGGAGACTATCCTGGAACTAACTCTGTAGACCAGGCTGGCCTCAAATTCACAAAGATCCACCTGCCTCTGCCTCCTGAGTGCTAGGACTAAAGGTGTGTGCCACCAGCATCCAGCTGGGGTTACAAATTTTTAAAATCACATTTCATTTTAATTGTATGAGGCGTGCCTGTGCTAAGTGCATATGGAGTGACCAGGCACAACTTCCAGGCATTGGTTCTCTCCTACTAAAGGATCCACGGGTTGAATTTGGTTTCTCAGGCCTGGAGCAAGCATCTTGGCCTGCCCAGCCCTCTTGCTGTCCCAGACCTGGGAATAAACCTTTACACAGCTGCTCTGTAGCTGAGCCACGCTGTCAGCCTTCTTTTTGCTTTTTATTCCGAGACAGGGTCTCCTGTAGCTCACATTGCCAGAGACCTGCAAGCCTCCTGCCTCAGGTTCTCAACGCCCCCCACAGGTCATGCACCGGGCAGTGTGAGCCTGAGTGAGCATTCTCTCCCTCTGTGCCCACAGCCCTGATCGCCACGTCCCCAGAAGGCTCGGACATGGCCTCGCTGCAGCAGCAGAGACAGGAGCAGAACTACTTCGTCAGGCTGGGCTCGCTGTCTGAACGGCTGCGCAACCACGCCTATGAGCACTCACTGGGCAAGCTGCGCAATGCCAGACAGAGTGCCCATGAGGCGCTGCAGCAGCTCACGCATGCGCTCAGCCTGGTGAGACTTGGAGTGTGGCCAGGGCTGGGGCCGCCTTCCTCTTCCTGCAGCTTTTCTCCATTCATTAGCTGGGATCTCACCCAATAGCAGGTGGGCTGGGCTAGTTCCTCTGAGATGGTTTCATACACTATGGTGTATGAGTCAGCTCAGGCTGTGTAACAAAGTGCACAATCTGTGCAGCTGAACCAGACACATTCACTGTACAGCCTTGTGAGAGGAGTTGCGAACTTTGATAGGGAAACCAGTGTGATTACCTAGGCTGTTGCAGAGTATGTGGGGCAAGGCATGGGCTTCTTTCTCCACCTGGCTAGCTAGGGGTACTACTGCTCGCTGGGTCCCGAGGCCAGCTAAGGCACTATTCCATCTTACTCATGTGAAGCTGACTGAGGGTGGTTGCTGGTGGAGCAGGGTCCATCCTCAGCCTTGCCCAAGAAGAAAGATAAAGGTAAAGGTGTGGGAATCCTTGGCGCATGCCTCTCATCCCAGCAGAGGCCAACTTGGTCTACATTGTGAATCCCAGGCTAGCTAGAAAAGAAAAAAGATGTAAATGAAGAGCATCCCCGTTCCTGTTGTCCCCAACTGGCTGGAGCCCAACATCTGGGACAGATGTGTACTCCCTTTTCTACAACCCTCATCCCTTTCTCTGGGCTGCAGATGGAATCTGTGAAACAGGGCGTGGACCAGAGGCTGGGGGAGGGGCAGGAGAAGCTGCACCAGATGTGGCTCAGCTGGAACCAGAAGAAACCCCAAGATGCAGAAAAGGACCCAGCTAATCCAGAGGTACCAGCTGGGCCCTGGGATTTCCGCGTCCATCTTCATTCCCAGCTCTGGGCACACTGTGCTTCCTGTCCCTGGGGGTGATCACAGATTCTAGTCAGGCTTTATAGGATTCTGTTTTGTTTTGTTTTTTTCCTCTTGGTTTCTCAAGACAGGGCCTCACTATGTATCAGTGGCTGTCCTGGAACTCTCTCTGTAGCTCAGGTCTGCCTCCCAAGCGTTAAGATTAAAGTCATGCCACCACCACCTGGCATTTTGGATTTGGTTTTCATTTTTGCATTGTTAGTATTACTATGAGGGGTTGTTTTGTTTGATTTTGAGATAACAGCTGTACGGCCACCACAACTGGCATCTTAGTGTCCACATTGTGGTTTGATTTGGGGTTTATATTTTTGTTTTTTATTTATTTTTTTGTTTTGGTTTGGTTTTTTGAGGCAGGGTTTCTCTGTATTGTTTTGGAGCCTGTCCTGGAACTGGCTCTGTAGACCAGGCTGGCCTCAAATTCACAGAGATTCGCCTGCCTCTGCCTCCCAAGTGCTGTGATTAAAGGCGCCACCACTGCCCAACTGTTTTTTGGTTTTTTGGTTTTTTTTTTTTTTTTTTTTGCTGTTTGGTTTTTGTTCCTCCTAGTGGCTTGTGTGTTCCACAAGTCTAGATTCTAGGCATCTTCCAGTGTCTCCTTGGTTATAGGAGCCTGAGGGGGGCCGAATCCCTGTCCCTCACACTGGGCTGTCCCCCTGCAGGCCCTCACCCTGTCCCACTCTCTCCTTCCAGCAGGTGGAGGACCGGGCACTTGGCATGTTCAAGGACATCACACAGCAGCTACAAAGCACGTGTGTGGCCCTGGGGGCAAGCATCCAGGGCCTGCCTAGCCACATCATGGAGCAGGCCCAGCAGGCCCGCAGGCAGGTCGATGACCTTCAGGCCACCTTCTCTGGCATCCATTCCTTCCAGGACCTCACAGCAGGTGTTCTTGCCCAGACTCGAGAGCGCATAGCTAGAGCCCGGGAGGCCCTTGACCACACTGTGGAGTACGTGGCCCAGAACACGCCCGTCACGTGGTTGGTGGGCCCATTTGCTCCTGGAATCACTGAGAAAGCCCCAGAAGAGAAGTAGGGAGAGGGGTCAGGGCCAGCATCTGGCTCCAGTCAGTTTTTCCTAACAGTCCTGTTGCACACCAGATCCTTCCTACCCTGAGTCTGAAAAGTGTTTAACCTATCCCCATCAGTCTCTTAAAGCACAAATAAATAAATAAATAAATAAATAAATAAATAAAATAAAAAATAAAAATTTCTAGAATGTTCCTGGAAAAAAATTCTTCTAGAATGTTCTAGAAAAATTTTCCCTTTAAAAAAAAAATCATCAGGGTAACTAGAAATGATGGCACATGCCTGTCATCCTATGTCAGCACTATGAAGCAGGAAGATCAAGAATTCAAAGCCAGATGCTACATAGCAAATTCAGTGATAGTCTAAGCTAGGTAAGACAGTGTCTTGACATACATCAGGCCATGGTGATAGTCCATTCTGGTGCCTTTATTATGCCATGGCCTACAATAGCAAGCGCTTTCCCAACAGACCCTGATACCTGGTCCAAGAATTCGGCCTCCATGACAGGGTGGACAGCAGGGACGTGAAATTTGTTGCAGATGAGAAAGTTGCTGAAGGCTGAGTGTCCAGTGTTCCTCAAACCCTGGGGTTCAGTATTGCTTTTAATAAATTTTACGTGTATCAGAGACCAGGCAGATGGTGTGTTTGTTTCTCACCCAGCCACTGAGCCACCCTAGCAGGGGAGCAGAAGGGACCCACTGCCCAGTTTCCCTCCCCTGCACTTTCTGTGAGGTGTAGGGGAGGGCCAGTGCAACAGACTGAACACCACCTGCCAAACATGTCCATATCTGTTCTTGACCTAGAGACAGGAGGATTAGGAGTTCAAGCTCATCCTTGTTTACATAGTTAGTTTGAAGCTACCCTGTCTCAAAATAGCAAAACTCAGGAGCAGGAGAGATGGTCCAATGATAATGTGTTTGGAGTGTGACCAGGAAAGATACCTGATGCCAATCCCTGACTTCCACACACTTTTCATATACATAAGGAAAATACAGGCCATTCTAATACCAGCTCCAACATCCAGAGCTGTGGGGACATCATGTTCAGTAATATGAGCCAGATACTCCTGCCTAGAATCCCACAGTGAGGGTCATGGGGCTTGCATGGGTCTAACCCCACCTAGAATCTTCCAGTGAGGGGTTGGGGTCATAGTCAGAGATACAACTGCCCCCTCCCACCTAGAATCTCCCAGTTGGAGTGGATGGCTCATACATACCACTTCCCAGTCAGTGTCCCCTGTAAATTGCTTCTGCTTTTCTGTTTTCACAATTTAGTTTCATCAGATATAAAACATGCCCAGAGTTACAGGATAGCGTCATGTACATACAAAGGCTGTTTCTTAAAATACTAAATACTCAGAAATCTCTTTCAAATTGTTTTGTTTTGAGCCCATGTGATGGCTCAGCAGGTGAAAGGGCTTGCTGTTCATTGACCTACACACACACACACACACATATATATATATATGTTTTGTTTTTCGAGACAGGGTTTCTCTGTATGCCTTTAAAGCCTGTCCTGGAACTAGCTCTGTAGACTAGGGTGGCCCCAAACTCAGAGGGTGTGTGTGTGTGTGTGTGTGTGTACAAGGAAATCCATTTGGTTGATTTCCTTGTAGCCTCCAGCACTCGTTTATTATTTATTTTTTGTTTTTTGAGACAGGATTTTTCTGTGTTAACCTTGGCTGTCCTGGAATTCACTCTGAGCTGTATGTAGACCAGGCCTCCAACTCACAGAGATCCATTTAATTCTGCCTCCCTAGTGCCGGGATTAAAGGTGTGTGCCACTACCATCTGGCCTATTAATTTTTTTTGAAATGGAGTTCTCACTGTGTAGGTCAGGCTGGCTTGGAGCTCAGGCCCTCCCTCAGCTTCCAGTGTGCTGGACCTATAGGCATAAATCACCAGGATCCCTGTGAATTTAGCCACATGGTGCATTGTTAGGATGTCACTAATTGAGGTCTGTGGCCACCAGCTCCTCGGTCTCTGGAGGTGGGGGTTTCTCCTTCCCCTGCCTTGGCCCTACACAATGAGAGCCCTGCCTTGTTCCACGTGGCACCATGGCGCTGGGCAGTGGGCAGAGTCAGGTCCGGGGCGCCCTGGGGACTTTCCCCTCTGGGGCGGGACACAGCTGACTTCATCTGCTCCTCCCCCACACGGAAGGGGTGGAACCCTTCCCTCCTCTTCTCCCTCCTCCTTCTCCAGCGGCCACCAGGGACCCTGAGATCCACCAGCCCAGGACCCCACGGCCAGGTAGGAGGAAGGCAGAGGGGACAGCAGGTGCAGGGCCAGAAGGGCCTTGAACAGTCTGGGCAGCACGCTGGGCCTCCACCTGCACCCATTCTGCGTCTTCAAGCCATTTCCCATGGACACTCAGATCCGCAGCCCACTTCCTGATCCCCAACCCGGGCCTACGATCCTGGGTGCTTGCTCAACCCTCAGTGCCCCCCAAATTCCTAGATCTTCCATCCCCCAGATCTCCTCCAACCAGAGCAGCGAACCCCCCCCCTCCCCACACCCAATCCCTCTCCTAGTCTCTATTTCCTGATCAGATCCGCTTTCTCTACCTCAATGTCCCCTGTCAAAACCTCTATTCCCAGACTAACACAGGCACCAGTCTTCCAGGTGTTGGGACTGGAAGCTTCTGCAGCCAGCTGCCCCTGGGTACGTTCCAAGTTCCCTGGCAGCACTCAGTCCCTGAGTCCCAGAGCTGACAGTCACCAGAGACTGGGGGGAGGGGTACCCTGTGCTACAAGAGATTGTCACCTCTGTCAGAGGGAGGACAGACAAGAGATAAAGGAAGTCCCATTCACCCATCTGTCTTGGTTCATACTAGGGATAGAGCTCAGGGTGTAGAGGAGAGCTCTACCCACTGAATGCCTCCACCCCTCTCTTAAAAATAATTACTTTTATTTTAATGCCATTTATGTTATTTATTTGTATCTGGAGGCAAGTTCTTATTATGTAGACCAGGCTGGCCTGGAACTCACCTAGGCTCTGGCCCTGATCTGTTAGTTTCAAGAAATTCTCCCAAGCCTGGTAGTGCTGGCCCATGCTTTTAATCCCAATACTCTGGAGGCAGAGGCAGGTGGGTCTCTGTGAGTTCCAGGCCAACCTGGACTACAGGACAAGTTCTAGAACAGCCAGGGCTACACAGAGAAATCATGTCTCCAAAAATGAAAGATGGGGAGAGAGAAAGAGAAAGGAGAGAGAAAAATCCTCCTGTCTTAGCTTTTCAGGTAGCTTGGATAAGAAAAAACAGACACCCTTAAGTAGTAAAGGCAGGAGGACCAGAAATTCAAGGTTATCCTTGGCTACATAGCACAAGGCCTGTATGGTCTATGAGATCCTGTCTCAACAACAAAAAACAAGCAAATAAAACCCAAATACTGTGCGCCCTGCTATATTTTGCCTGTCCTTTGCTGAACAGTGTCAATAAACATTTCTTTCTCCTCTCTGTATGTCTCTCTTTCTCCCTCTCTCTCTGCCACTCCTCTCTCTTCCTGGCACTGGGAGTTGAATTCCGGGCCTCCTGTATGACAGATAGGCACTCTATCCACTCAGGTGCACCTCCAGTCCTCAGTAAGCACTTTTTAAGCACTTACTGTGTACCAGGTACTATCCTGTTCATGTGTTAATTTTTTTTTTCTCCAATGAGAGCTTATTTTATTTATTACTGTTGTTGTTTGAGACTGGGTTTCTCTGTGTAGTCCTTGCTGTGCTGGAGCTTGCTCTATAGACCAGGCTGGCTTCAAACTCACAGAGATCCACCTGCTTCTGCCTCCTGAGTGCTGGGATTAAAAAGACCTAGCAGTTTGTTTATTTATGCATTTTATTTTAACCTTCTCTGTCTTCCACCACATGGGTCCAGGGACTGAACTCAAATCTTCCAGCTTGGCAGCATCAAACATCCTTACCCACTGGGCCATTTTGTCAGCCCTCAGTCAGCACGCATGTGTGTCAGGCACTCTGGATCCTAGAAACTAGACAGTTGTACCTGAGCCCTGCTCCTACTGGGTCCCACATGGGTGTCTGTTGTGGGACATGATGGCTCTCCCATATGAAGTAAAATTCAGTGGGTCATAAGAACTGGGTATGAGAGCTGCCTTTCTGGGGAGGGGACAGCCCTGAGGGTAAGTGCCCCTAGAGGGACAGCCGTGCAAAGGCCCTGAGGTAGAACAGTGCATGTAAATGACAGCTTAGCAGGCAGAGGGAAGAGAGAGAGAGGGACAAGTCCTGGTCAACTCTGTGACGCTGTCTCCTCTGCCTGGAGCCCCCTGGACCCATCCTCGCCACAGCACACAGAGGGAGCTTCCTCCTTAGGGTATCCACCCACAGCCCTCCAGGGCTCCCATCTCCCTCAGGGTCAAAGCCACCCCTGCCTGCCTCCCTCTGATCTGGCCTACTCACTACTCCAGCATGCCAGGCCCCAGGACCTTTGTACTCACAGCACCTTTGTGCTCTCCAAAAGGGCTCTCTGGACTAGCTCATCTCCTTCAGAGGCAGCTCAGTCATTCCCTCCCTAGGGCATGCCCCACCACAGGCTCTGCCTCAGGTTCATTTCCTCCATGGCACTTTTATTTCTCGAAATGATTTTAGGTGATTTTGTGTGTGTGCGCCATATCCTGTTGCTCTGCCGATGCCCGTGCGTGTGCCCCATTCCATGCCAGCATCTCCCATGACAGCGCCCAGACACTCTTATGTGAGAAATGTTCAGCAAATGAGGAGACTGCATGGGTGTGTGTGGGGAGAACGATGGACACTAGGGCAGGGGTAGACATCCTAGCTGTGGGTGGGAGATTTTTGGTGTGGTGGGGAAGTCAGGACGGCTTTAGTGGGTAGGGCTTTGGCCCCTCCCCCAGGACTTTTGCAGTGCTGTGCCCTCTACCCCTGGGGCCTTTGTATGCGCTGTGCCCTCACCTTGGTGTTCCCTCGGGGTTCTTCATTTTCATTCCCTTCCAACTGTCGTCTCTGAATCCTTAGGGTCACACTGTTCAGATCTGCCAAAGTAAGCCTTAATCCTTGTAGTTCCTGACCCTCCTTCAGGCTTAGTATGGTCTGCAGCCACGGTGGGCAGCTGACTCCCTGTGAACACTCCTTTCTCTGTCTGCCAGGTCGTTCACAGCTAAATGCCTCCATTTCCCAGCAGCCATGGAGAGGGCTGTGGCCCTGCCTCTTTTGCCCTTTCCACCTTTTCCCATTTTCCTGGTCTGCCATCTGTTATGCTCCCGTGACTCTGGCTCTGCCAGTGGTCATTAGGCCCCTCCCTCTGCCTACCTGGCTCCCTTGACCTGGGCCCTGCCCTGCCCAGCCCAGGCCCTCTGCCCGGCCCACCTCTGCTGCTTCAAGTCTTGTCTTTGAAGGCTTTTTGTTCATCTATGTGCAAAGTCTGTGAGTTAACTGACTGAGGTATTGATTTCTGGTCTAGACCAGGGTCCCTCTTGGGCATCCTGGACATGTACTCACTCCAGCTCTGTTCATGGCTGAGAAGACCTCAGTGCCTGTCAGTCCTGGTGCCCTGACACCTGCCCTCCCTCATAGCCATGTTGGGATGGGGCTCACTCCTTTTCCATCCCAAGGCCAGGTGTGGCTGATGTGACCAGACAGCTAGGGACGCTTCTCAGCACCTGCCCCATAGAGAATGTCCCGGCCACATACATGGTGATCTGTGGGTCACTGTGAGTGTCCTGTAAGTCACTGAGAATTTTATAGCAGTTCAAGCATCCACTCACCCACTGGTTCGCTCACTCACCACACCTGGCTCATGCAGCACTGGGCGTGACACATGCTCAGCCAGTGAACTCTGTGAATGCTCTGCCAGTGCTCTTCCCTCTGTCCCCAGCCCTCCTGCTGATTTGGAAACATATCCCTATGTAGCTGGAGCTCACAGAGATCCTTCTGCCTCTGCTGTCTTGTCTGGAGAGTCACCATAAACTCCCAATTCCGCAGGTCTGCTGCGCCACCCTCCAGGATCTGCAGCAGGGGACACTCTGTGCAGGAGGCAGCTGGGCCAGAACATGTCTCCACCCACCCCAGCCTCTGTGGCTCCAGGGTTCATTCTCCCTCATCCATGGCCATCCCAAGCCCATCAATCCATGGCGCCTTAGACATTCTAAGAGCCGTGGGAAGGGACAGACTGGTCCACCTGAAAGACAAGCTGGGGAGTCTAATTCCAGGCAGCCAGGAGTCCAAGCTTCTTCACGCCATGGTGCTCTTGGTTCTAGGCCAAAACACTACTGAGGCCAGGTTCTCTTTGGAATCCTTGAAGGCAGACACAGTGGCCCAGCTGGTAGGCTGCCAGTGGGCAGGCGTGGACAGCACAGAAGGCCCCGAGGAGCCTCCAGATTTGTCTTGGTCTGTGGCTCGCCTGTACCACCTGCTGGCTGAGGAGAACCTTTGTCCTGCTTCTACAAGGGACATGGCTTACCAGGTGGCCCTCCATGACCTCGCCTCCCAGGGTGACCACTTGCTGGACCAACTCCAGAAGGAGGCTCAGGATCAATGTAGTTCAGACATCACGGGGAGCCACTGTAGCTTCCAGCCACTCCATTCTGATGAGGGTTGTCTTCCACCTTCTTCAGCATCCCCTTCAGTAACCAGAAGCCAGCCTCAACCCATTGACACATCAGACTGGAGCCAGGGACAGTCTCTACACTCTACCAGCAGCATTGCCTCACTGGCTAGCCACTTGGAGATCAGCCAGTCACCCACTCTGCCCTTCCTCTGTCCACACCGTGGAACCCATGGGCCCAGCAAGCTCTGTGACACACCCCCGGCATCACCTGAGCCTCAGCTTATCCCTGCAGGCTGCCAAGAACCTGAGGAAGTGAGCTGGCCTCTGTCAGTGGAGACCAGCGTCCCCTTGGGGTCACCACACAGAACTGGGGACCCAGAGGTATCCCCTGAGGTGGCTCCAGTCATCCTTCCTGATTCTCTGGCTGCTCCAGACACGAGTGTCCACTGCCCGGTTGAATGCACAGAGGTGTCTACAGTTTCCCTGTCTCTCCTGCCTCCCACCAGGGAAGGCATTAGAAAGCAGCCATCTATCACAGGTCAGATGTCACCTCCAGGCTCTGTAGGAGATGACAGTCTGCAGAACACCACGTCCAGCCCCCCTGCCCAGACACATTCCCCCCAGATCTCCACTACACTGCCTCCTTCCCCTCCATCCTCCACTTCCTTCTCCAGCAGCCACCCTATTCCCCCAGCCTCCATGTCCCCTGTTCTGGGCCACTCAGAAACATCTGAGCAGAAATTCTATAACTTTGTGGTCATCCACGCCAGGGCTGATGAACATGTGGCCCTACGTATCCGGGAGAAGCTAGAGACCCTTGGGGTGCCTGATGGGGCCACCTTCTGTGAGGAATTTCAGGTGCCTGGGCGTGGTGAGCTGCATTGTCTCCAAGATGCCATCGACCACTCGGGATATACTATCCTACTTCTGACCACCAACTTTGATTGTCGCCTGAGTCTGCATCAAGTCAACCATGCCCTTATGAACAGCCTCACGAAGTCTGGAAGGCAGGACTGTGTGATCCCCCTCCTCCCACTGGAGTGCTCCCAGGCTCAGCTCAGCCCCAACACGACCAGCTTGCTCCACAGCCTTGTGTGGCTGGATGAACACTCCCCTATCTTTGCCAGGAAGGTGGCAAACACCTTCAAACCACAGAAACTCCAGGCACACCGGATCCGCTGGAAGAAAGAACAAGAGACCAGAGCTCTCAAGGAGCAGAGCACTCATCTGGAGGCTGAGCGGCAAAGGGTGGCTGCCATGTCTGCTGCCTACTCAACCTACATCCACAGCTACAGCTCTTGGCAAGCACAGATGGACAGCCTGCAGATGGCTTTCAGGAAGGATTTGCCACTGGGGGCCCCTACATCCTTCCCCAGTTGGGTGGGATGTCCACAGCCTTCACATCTATGGCAGGGTACCCCAGGTTCCCCCTATTTCCTGCAGCCTCCATCTTTCCCGCAGCCTCCATCTTTCCCGCAGACCCCATCTTTCCCGCAGCCTCCATCTTTCCCGCAGCCTCCATCTTTCCCGCAGACCCCATCTTTCCCGCAGCCTCCATCTTTCCCACAACCTCCAGTCTCTTCCCCGCAGTCCCCACCCTTCCCATCTGCCTCCTCTGCAGCCACCCAGGCTCCAGGACCTCTCATTATTCATCATGCCCAGATGGTTCAACTGGGGGTCAACAACCACATGTGGGGCCAGACAGGAGCCCAGTCGACCAATGACAAAACTGAGTGTCTGGAGGAACCCTGCTTGGACGCTCCGAGTGACCAGAAGGGACCCCTGCTTGAGACTCTAAAGTGATCATGATGGAACCCACCTGGATTCCTAAAGTGACCAGGCTGAACCCAACCTAGACTGCTAGAGTGGCCAAGCTGGATTTTACCTGGGTTCTTAAAGTGACAGTGGGAAAGGGGAACCTTGCCTGGGCCCACACAGTGGCTGTGAATTGGACCCAAGAAGCCAGGAAGACCTTGCCTGTAACTCAGAGCCTGGAAAAACATCCAGAACCCTATTGAACATTGGACAGGACTCTGGGACCCCACCTCGCATCCTCTAGGTGAACAGATGGCTATGGAACCATAGGCTCCACCAAGGTGTCCCCAGCGGCCACGTGATCTTCATTCAGTGTGGCTCGTACTGTCTCTGGGGAAGATGTGGTGCTAGGGCAATGGAGAGGGTTCTGTTTTTATAATAAAGTTACTGACAGCTGAGTCACGAGCCAGAGTCCCCACCCACCACCGCCCACAGGAGACAGCTCCGCCAGGACTGGAATAGGATAGGAGCGCCATCCGGCTCCCAAAATGGCAGGAACCGGAATCTGTAGATGTATTCTAATCCTATTGGACAGCGCGGACCACGTAGCCTTCTGCTGCAATGGACTCTGGGAAATGTAGTTTTAGGGGGCAGCCATGTCTCAGGAAGTCTTCCAATGTTAGGAAAGAAGTAAAAAAAGACACTCGGGAGTTTCTGGCGGTTTTGATTGCTTTTGTGAATTTATTTATGTAGTGTATGTGTGCCAGGCATGTGTGGAGATCATAAGGCAACCTGTTTGAGCCGGTCCTCCTTCTCCATGTTGGTCCCTGTTTTGTTGTTGTTGTTGTTGTTTTTTTTTTTTTTTTTTTTTTTTTTTTGACAGAGTTTTCTCTGTATTGTTTTAGAGCCTGTCCTGGAACCTCACTCTGTAGACCAGGCTGGCTTCGAACTCCCAGATATCCGCCTGTCTCTGCCTCCTGAGTGCTGGGACTAAAGGCGTGTGCCACTAACGCCCGGCTTGCTTTTTGTTTGTTTGTTTTTTTTTTTTAACATTTATATTGGCAGATTTTGCTACAGTGGTGTTTTCTTTGGCATTGTGAGCGTGTGGTGAGGTTCAGCCAAGGCTATATAACTTTGCATTTTGACCCTCTGCCACCTCATCACATTTATTTTTATTTTCCAGATGTATTATTTTTATTTACTGGTATGTATGTGAGGCTGTGAGTTTATGTGCACCATGTAAGTACAGAGAATGTCAGTTTCCCCAGAACTGGAGTTATAGGCAGTTGTGAGTCCCTTGATGAGAGTGCTGGAAACCAAACCAGGATCCTCTGCAAGAGCAGTAAGTGCTCTTTTATTTTTTATTTTATTTCCTGAGACATGGTTTCTTTGGGGCTTTGGAGGCTGTCCTGGAACTCAATAGACCAGGCAGGCCTCAAACTCACAGACATTCACCTGTTTCTGTCTCCCAAGTGCTGGGACTAAAGGCACCATCAATACCTGGCTCTTTTTTTTTTTTTTAATATTTTATTTATTTATCTACTTATGTATATAGTTGTCTTTATGCATGTATGCACACCAGAAGAGGGCACTGGGTCCCATGGAACTACAGTCACAGACCAGTACTTCTCAATGCCCAGCCAATGAAAATATTTCTATGGTTGAGGGTCACCACAACATGAGGAACTGAATTATAGGGTCAGTGTTAGGAAGGTTGAGAACTACTGGTAATAGACAGTTGTGGTTGCTTGAGAATTGGACTCAGGACCAGTGCTCTTACCTACTTAGCCATCGCTACAGCTCCTTTCTTATTTTCTTTATTTATACTGTTTCCCCCACTCTTTTATTTATTTGGTTTTCATTTGAGACAAGTTCTGTCTACATAGCCCTGGATGAGTCAGGTGTTGGTGGCTACACAGAGAAACCCTGTCTCAAAAATCCAAAAGATCTTAAAGTGCCCAGACATCTCAACCCTCCAAACAAGCCTCTGTGAAATGTGGATTCATTTTACAGATGGGGAAAACTGAGGCCCAATGTTAATAATGGCCCTTGGCATCACTTGAGTTAGAATTTAGAGGAGCATAATGTAAGAAAGCCAGACTTCCAAGGACAGGCAACTATGGGCTCATCCCACAAACAGCCCAGTCTGTGGGCTGTTCCAGGCTGCCTTACACTGCAGGAGAGGATGAGTCACTCTTGCTTTCTGTTTTAGTCTCTGAGTCAGACCTAGTCAGAGCTGTTCTGTACATGGTGGACCTGAAGTGAAACCCCAGCATCACAGTTCTGAGACTGGGGGAGGGGATATGTAAATTAAGTCCTCTGACCCATGGTGAATGGGGTGGCTGGAAAGGTGCTGGGCTCTTGGCTGTGGGTTTCCTGGGTGAGATGTCAAAGGAAGCATCAGTAAAGCATGCAAGGGGACTTGGAAGGGGATGCAGGAAGGACAGGGTCGAGAAGGGCAGACAGCAGCCTGTTAATTCATTTCCACTGGATGGCAGAGGAGAAAGAGATGGATGGCTCAGCTGTAAAGGTGCTTGTCACAGAGCCTCATGAGCTGAGTTCCCTTGCTGGAATCCACATGGTGGACAGGGAGAACGGACTCCTGCAAACTGACCTCCACACAGTTGCACACACACACACTAAATCAAGAAATGTAATTTAATCATCCTGGCACTTGGGAGGCTGAAAAAAAAAATCAAGAACTGGAGGCCAGCTTTGGTTACTGAACAAGTTTGAAGCCAGCCTGGGCTGTGGGAGAACCCACTTCAAGTCAAACATGTAAATGTTTTTTACACATTTTCCTTTTAAATTTATTTACGGTGCTGGATAAGTGCTCTACCTGAATCACAGCTCCAACCCTACATGAATTTTTTTTAAAAATGAGTCATTATTTAGTGCCCACTGTATGCAGACCTGTATTGGATACTGGGACATGGGAAGGCCATGTGTGTGCATTTACTCAGCCATTGTACAGATAGCCCTAAGGCTGTGATGGGACAAGAGCTGGTGGGTGGAGCCATTAAAGGAAGTTTCTGGAAAAAGGAAGTCTGAGGGGTTAGAGCCATGGCTAGACATTCTCTGACCTCCAGGGTCTAGTCTGTCTCCTGGTGGTAGCCTCAGCAGGGTATGTCCCTAGCCAGCTAGGAATTCAGAAGGCTGGCTCTGTTCACAATCCTTTCTGACTTTTATTGGGGAACAGGGCAGTCCTAGTTGTCCTGTAGACCTCTTGGGATTCATGCTGGATGTTAAAGGATTTTTGTTTGTTTTATAAATGTTTTCTCTAAGCCCAGAGAGTCATGTCTTGCAACAGAATCACCAGACATATGTATGGCTGGGTTTGATGGGGCAGAATGTGTTAGTGTTTTCACATTTCTTTTGTGTGAGCATGTGTGTGTGGGTCAGAGGACAATTTACAGGGCCAGTCCTCTCCCTCCATTGGGTCCTGGAGCTCAAACTCAGGTGGTAAGGCTTTGAGGCTTTGGGTGTGTGCCCCACACAGGCAGCAGAGAGGTCATGGTTTGTAGATGGCTGGGGTGAGCCAGGGAGCAGTATGTTCTAGAATTATCTGGCAACCCCACTTCCTGGGTCTGGAGAACTCTGCTGGGCTGAGTCCAAGGTTATCATGACCTGGTTCCAACCAGCCTTGTGAGCCCTCTTCAGGGAACCAAAAGGAGGAAGTTGTGCCACCTGCCAAGGCCCTCCTGGCTTCTGTCCACACTGGATAGAACTATGTGGAAGGTGATGACAGCCCAAGATGGGCACAGTGGGTTCCTACAGGTTCTGTTCCAGAAAGGACTTCGATACAGCCCTGAGTGATGCTGTCCCCTCCCTTCCCCCACTGTGCAAGTAGCAAGGATTATAGTGCTGAAGGTTGCTGTGACCTTGTGCTGGGGACAGGCCCCTCCTCATCCTCTTTACTCACCAGCAGTTGCTCTCGCCACTGTCCTCTAAGCAAGACCTTTGTGACTCTGGCTCTCTCTCTAAATTCCCCCATGGCTCCCTCAGGATTTGGCTCAAATCTGAGCTCTCAGAACTAGAGACATAGCTCTGTGGTTAGAACATGGGTGCTCTTGCAGAGGACCCCTGTTCAGTTCCAAGCACTCAAGTGGAGGCTCACAACCATGTGTAATTCCAGTTACAGGGGATCTAATACCCTCTTCTGGCCCCCGTGGGTACCAGACACGCATGTGGTACAAAGACATACATACAAGCAAAACATCTATAAAAGTAAATTTAAAAAAAAAAAATACCCCAAACTCAGGCTTACTAGGGGCTTTTCTGGCCACTTCATTTTTAAAGTCATTAATCTGGGGCTGGGGAGATGGCTCAGTGGGCAAAGTGCTTGCTGCACAAGAGGACTTTAGTTTGGCCCTGGAACATGAGTAAGATAACTAGTATGCACCTATGATCCTAGTACTAGGGAGGCAGAAGCAGAAGGATCCCCAGGTCCTAGCCCATCTTGGCAAACCTGTGATGTAGGTCAGTGTGACCAGCTCAAAACCAACCTCAGCCACTAGAGGGCCCAGACAGCAAAGACACTTGTGGTCAAACCTGCGGACCTGTATGCAATCCCAGGCACCACATGGTAGAAGGTGATTCTCTAGAGTTGTCCTCTAACAACACACGCGCGTGCGCACACACGCACACACGCACACACACACACACACACACAGAGTGTTATTTCTGGCGATTATTTTTGGCATTGGGGATCAAACCCAGGGTCCTTGCATAAGTTAGACAAATGTACTGCCATTTAACCCAGGCCAGGAGCTCATGTTGGCCTCCTTAGTACTTGAGAGGCCTTATCTCAACAGAAAACTTCCAAGTTAAAAACTAAAACTTACCCCAGACCAGCCCATAGCTATTGGGGATAAAAGCATTTCTGTCACTCACTACCCACAATATTCCATCCTGGTACCCAGCAGGTGCTCAGTAAATGTTTGACTTTCCAAGTGGTGTTCAGCCCCACCTTGGTTCATTTTGGCCTCAGGTCTCATGTTGGTCCCGTTCCATTCCTGCTGGTTGGTAGGTCTCGTTCACTCTACCATCCACTCAGCATAGGTTGGAAAATGAGTGAAGCACCTACCGATGCTTTCTGTGGTTCCTGCTTCTTTCTACCTTTGTGAGCTCCTCACCAGTGCTGACAATGCCTAGGGTACAGCAGAACTGGCAGGCGTGAGTCCACCTGGGGATGCAGGGCACAGTGGGGAAGAGCATGTGGAGCCTGAAGGCCCCAGGGAAGCTGGTGTGTCCATCACCAGTGGATCAGGAGTTCAAGATTGAGGCTGGAGAGATGGCTCAGGTTAAGAGGACTGGCTGCTCTTCCAGAGGTCCAGGTTCAACTCCAAGCACCCACATGGCAGCTTGAAACTGTTCATAACTGACACTCTCACACCAATGCACATGAAATAGTTAATAAAGTATTAAAAAAATTAAAACACCAGATATTGGTGGCACATACCCTTTAACCCCAATTATCGGAAGGCAGAGGCAGGTGGATCTCTGTGAGTCTGAGGCCACCCTGGTCTGCAAAGCAAGTTCCAGGACAGCCATGAGAAGCCTTGTCTTGAGAAACTTAAAAAAAAAGATATATGATATATATAAAAAAATTCAAGGTCAACTTCAGCTACATCAGCCGAGGCTACAAGATAGTTATGACACATTAAGGGGTGGAAAGTACCACGGTGGTGCTGCCATGAACAGACCTTTCCATTGAGGGGGCACCCAAGGCAGCATCCTGAACTCATTAAGCACAGCCCAGACTGCTCAGTGTGTCAGCCCTGGGACAAAGACAGTAATAACAGGCATCCAGATACCTTTCTTGGTATGCTCCTTCCAAATCTTGCAACCAGGAAAACTGAGGCACAGAGAGAATGGCATCAATCTCTGAGATTTCAAGGTGAGATTGGATGCTGCTTTTCTACCTTAAGATGGGCACCCAAAAAGGACAGTCCTGTATGCATCAGTTTCCTGCCAGATGCCAGAGTGGGGCTTTTATTTTTAGCCTGTCCTGTGGCCCAGGTCTTTAAGCAGCTCTGGAATGTGGCTGGATTCCCAGGGAAGTAAGAAGGGGTTTTCTTCTGTCTGAAGACTTAGCCTTATCACCCCCACCCTCTCACTCACCTCACCAGTCTGCCACCACTGAGCCCTCCTCCTTCCTTTTTTTGAAGACTCAATAAATTTATTATATATGCATGCCAGAAAAGGGTACAAGATCTACAATGGTTGTGAGCTACCATGTGGCTGTTAGGAATTGAACTCAGGCTCTCTGGAAAAACTGTTCTTAACCTCTGACCCATCTCTCCATTCTGAGCCCTTGTTCTTTAAGTAAATTTTACAGTTTTTAAAAAGTATTTCTCTTAGTGCTGGGAGTGGGGGTGGATCCCAGGGCTCCATCCATAGATGTTTACCGCTGACCGAACCCCAGGCCTGAAAATCAACTTCTGGGCGGACCAATGGAAATGACAATGGTTGTGTACCCTTGACCATACCCTAAAACGCACTGATGTGTAGATGTAAGAACACTCAGTTTTGCAAATTGAGCATGATGACCCCTGTCATTCCAGCACTCTAGATGAGGCAGGGGGATCAGGAGTTCAAGACCAGCCTAGGCTATGTGAGACCCTGCCAAAAAAGGCTAACAGGGCTGGTGATGGCTCCAGCTCCAAGTTAACCGAAAACCTCTGCTTTCTGCAGACACTGCACTCATATGCATGGCCCCCAAAACACATAATTTAAAAAGCAAGCAAGCAGTCAGCTTAGAAGGGAAGAGCCTGGAAGGCAGCCCCATGAGACTCATGGGGTGATCTAGGAAGACTTCTGCAGGTCAAGCTCACTTGGTTTTTGTTGCTTTTTCTTCACTGTAGCCCCAGTTGGGACTGAAGGCACGTGATAGCGCTGGTTTAGCTGACTTCTTGACAGGCTTTGAACAGGTTGTAAGGGCTGAGGGGTTGAGAGCCCCTGGACTTGGGGCATCTCCAACTTGCAGCGCCAGGCCCACCTTTTTCTCTGAACCACACCTGCTGTGCTCATCACTCCTGTCATCCTCTTGGGCCCTCTACAGCTGGCTGAGTGCCCAGTGACATGGCTTTGCACTGGGCTATGTTTAACTTGGGGTGGGGATGCTCACTACCTAGAAATAGCAGACTGGTGCAGCCCACAAGGACAGTGTGTGCCACTGTCCTGATGCATATGAACAGACTGGAGAACACTCCAGACAGTGGCAAACACCATCTGTTGTGATGTCAGCCAGAATGGGGTGGGTGTGGTACTAAGTGGGGGCATGTCTCCCAGCCCCCATTCCTAGTCTATCTGCCCACCCACCAACAGTGGTGTGTTCTGAGGGGTTGAACTGGTGTCTCACAACTGGCAGGCCCTTACCCACTGAGTCATCTTTCCCTGCATTAATCTTTCTTGTTTTGGGGGGGAGGGAATCTCTCTGGTAGTTCTGGTTGTCCTTGGACTCTGTAGACCAGGATGGCCTTGAACTCAGAGGTCCACCTGCCTCCAACACCAGAGTGCTCAGATTAAAGGCATGCACCACCACACCCTTCCTCACTTTCTTTTCTTTTGGTTTTTCCAGACGGGATTTCTCTGTAGCTTGGGAGGCTGTCCTGAAACTTGCTCAGTAGATCAGGCTGGCCTCGAACTCACAGAGGTTCACCTGTCTCTGCCTCTTGAATGCTGGGATTAAAGGTGTGCACCACCACCACCACCACCACCAGCACCACCGATGCTGCCGCTGACTGGTGCTTTAGTGTTTCTTAACCCCTCCCCAGAACTCCAATCATAACCACAGGGTATCCAGGCTACCTATTTTTTTTTTTCCCCCAAGACAGCCTTGGCTATCCTGGAAATATTTCTGTAGACCAGGCTGGCCTCGAATTCAGAGATCCACCTGCTTGTCTCCCAAGTGCTAGGATTAAAGATTAAAAGAGTTTACCACCACCATCCGGCCTCAAGGCTACCTCTTAACCAATCACTGTAGCTGACTCACAGGCTATTGTGATTGGCTCAAGGGTATAAAAGTGACAGTGACACAGGCCTGTTCAATTACAGGCACCATAAAAAAATTAAGACTAAGAGGACCCTGTGGGGGTTTTGCAGGAAATCTGTTTGATCCTGCTATTCCCACCAAGGAGAAGACAGCTGGAGGGAGCCACCCGGAGCTGCTGGATCAACTCTCTCAGGGGAATGTTCAGCAGAGTCAGGCCCTATGAGACAGATGCTCAAGGTGCTGAGGCAGGGGGATGGATCTGGAACTGCTGAGATGGAGGGCTAGAATCTGGCCTTTTCTTGTCTCTCTGAACTTGCCTAGAAACCTGAACGGAAGCAGCTACATCAGAAGGCGCAGTCACTACATCTGAACACTTGGGGTGCAGTAGGGGTCAGTAAAGTCTCACTAGTATCACACCTCAGAGGATGTACTCTAGGATGGCCTCCAGCTTGTGAACCTCCTGCCTCAGCCTCAGAAGTACTGAGGTGGCAACTCTCTGTGCCACCAGGCATTCTTGACAAGCTCACCTTGCTTCCACCCTCCACCTGCCCACATTAAGTAACAGCTAGGCAGCTTTCTTCACATACCTGCATTTAATGCATAAATATAAGTGCCAAAACTCACAGGGGTCCGAGTTTGCCCTGAGCTTCGTTCAGCAGGGTGGGGCAGTAAGGCTCTGCCCAATAAGGCCTAAGGCTTGTTTTGTACAGAGAATAACCAAACACTGCAATCGCACACTGATGTCCTCACGGGACGGCTTATGTGGCTTCAATGGCCAAGGGAGGGACTGGCCTCTCTACATTAGACTTTCTCCTTTTGCACCTTCCCACCTCCTGCCTTGGTGTGATCCAGTTTTAATCCCACTCACTATAAGTGACTGGGACAAGAGCTGGTGGAGTCACAGGTTGGTGCTATTCAGGTAGTTTTTGGTGCTGGGGCTGCACTCAGGGCCCCATGTGGCCCCATGGCAGCCTGGCTGGCAGCTCCCCACCTTCACCTATCTTAATAGGAGAAGCCTACTCCTATCTGTTACTGGGAATATGAACTCATGAAGACCTGGGGTCAGGTCCTCAGAGAAGGGGAAACAGGACAAGTGTGGCATGGGTATGAACCTGGCAGCTGGACCACCTGCCTGCCAGTCCTCACAGCTGCAGCCTGAAGTTGGGAACAATGTCAATCCAAGCAGGGTGTGGCTGGAGGCAGTGTTGTCTACTGGCTGTTCCGGTCACTTGCTCTGGCCCTTCTTGGGGACAGTTCTTTCTGTAACCAGCACACGAGTGAGGAGGCTTCCCAGGACGCTAGTTACACACTAGCTCATGCTGCTCTCAACTGTGGCCACCACAAAGTTCTGGCAACTTCAAACTAAGTCATTAGTGAGTCCAACACACAGAAACCAAGGAAAAAAGACAGAGCAAAAACATCAGAATGTGGGCTACAAACTGCTGCCCACTTGCTAAGTAAATAACAAACCAACCGCAAACTTCTAGGTGGCAGGTGCTAGGGCAGGTGCCCACTGCAGGAAGGAGCCAATGACTTCTGACCCCATCTTGACAGTGTTGGGTGCACAGGACTCCGGAAAAGCTAGCTCCAGGCTGGGTGATAGAGCAGAGGGCTCCAGACCCAGACAGATGCCACTGGGGAGGTCCCGGCACCCTTTTGCTTTGTCACAGAGAAAAACCATCTTGCTACTATGTGACCCTGAAGGCTTCTAGAACCAACCTACTCCATTGACCCTCACTGCCAGTAGGCAAAGAAGACAGAATGCTTTTGCTTGGAGAAGGCCAAAGTGCACGCTGGTGACTGAATCAGGCTCAGTGTAGCTGGATGAAGGCCTCCAGCTCCTCTGGGATGAAGCCCTTATAAGGGACCTTGTTCCTGTCTAGGGCGCGGGCAGCCAGGCATTGCAGTGTCACATAGTTGAAGGGTTGTACGGTGCTCTTGGCCAATAACTTTGAGTCCAGCAGCTCATAGGCTGTCTTCTTGAAGGCATTGGTGGCATCCATGTGGGCCCCAGCTTCAATGAGTGCATCCATGATGGCAGGGCAGTTGTTTTGGGCAGCGATGTGCAGTGGAGTATTGTTGTCGAAGTCCCGGCTGTCAGGGTCAGCCCCGCAGTCCAGCAGCACCTTGACCACGTGCAGTGAGGGGAAGACACCCACGCGGTAGCGGCCCACATTGGTGGTCTCCTTGTCCACTGCCATATGTAATGGAGTGAAGCCGTTCTTGCCGCGTGGGGCACACTTGAGCAAGCGGTAGACTGTCTGGTGCTTAAGATGTTCCTGGCTAGGGGTGCACTCCACCTTCTCCAGCAGATACAGCAGGTGGAGGATGATGGCAATGGCTTTGGTGAACTGTGCAGAGTCACCCGGTTCCTTGGGCAGCTGCAGAGCCCGCTCCACTTCCCGCACCCCTTTGCTGAGCACACCCATGAGGTCGGGGAAACCGAGCTGCATGCCCAGGTTGCCCTTAGCTGAGCAGTCCTGCAGCACATATGAGAAGAGCTCTGCAAATGACAGGAAGCTGCTGGCAGTCATGGGGCTCAGGGGCTCCAGGTTGCTCTGTTGCATGTCCAAGGCATACTTCCACAGACGGATACAGCGCTCGAAATTTCCAGAGTCCGCATAGACAGCACCTCGGTACCTTATGTAGTATGAAGTGTCGGGGTGCGAGGGGCCCAGGATCCTCTCCCGTATCAGCAGAGCCTGCATCCGCATCTCATCAGGATCTGTGATGAGGGCCTCCAGTTCTTGGGGCGTGGTCACCTCCCTGGAATAGTCGTAGGCCAGAACCAGCTGTTGGGGCTGAGGCTTGGGGAGGTAGTCCCCACCCTGGTGACGGAGTTCCATTGCCCTTCTCCAATGCTTCAGGGCTCCAAGCAGATCCCTTTTCTTATCCACGTAGGTGGCTCCCAGCAGCTCCAAAGCCTCCACGGCCGCTTCCCGGCTGGTGGGGCAGCAGCTCTCATAAGGTTCTGCTTCCTCCCGGGTGGAACAGATACTGCATGACCCCTGAGTGGAGCCTTCCCGGGACAGCTCAGCCCCTGAGAGATGCCCGTGGCTGGGCTGCTCCTGGATGAGGTACTCCACAATGTTGGTGTGCCCGGTGACACTGGCAGCCAGCAGCGGGGTCATGCCATAGCCATCTCGCTCCATGCGCGCGTGACAGCCCAGCAGCAGCTGTAGGATCTCCAGGCTGCCAGACTCTGCACAGTCGTGCAGCGCCGTGTTGCCCTTGGCGCTGCGCCGGTTCACCTGCGCCCCGCGCTCCAGCAGGTAGCGTGCGATCTCACGGTGGCCCTTGTAGCACGAGATCATGAGGCACGTGTGGCCGTGGCGATTGGCTACCTCCAGGTCAGCCTTGTGCTCGCCCACCAGGTAGCGCACCACGTCCAGGTGGCCATCGAAGCAGGCGGCTCGCAGCGGCGTTGAGTTGGTGCGCGTAGTGCGGTTGACCGAGGCGCCTCGGCGCAGGAGGCTCCGCACCACGGACAGGTGGCCTGCTGCCGACGCGGCCCAGAGCGGCGGAGCGCCCTCGATGGTCTCACCATCGAAGTGCACCGAGCCGCCCGCCTCAACGCTGGCGCCGCAGTGATCCACCAGGTACTCCACCACGTCCAAATGTCCGCGGCGTGCTGCTATTAGAAGCGGCGTGCCGCCGCCCGCCACCTCACCCAGCAGCTCGTCCAGCTCCTCCCGCCCACGGCCACCCAGCAGCTTCTGCAGCAACTGCAGCTTGCCGTCGTGCGCCGCATTATACACGGCTGTGTGCAAATCCATGCTGGACACCACGCTGCCGGCTCTAGCCGGGCCGCCTATCGCCAGAGACAACCTTCACCTTCTCCCTTGCCGCCATCTTAGCGGCCTCCGGGCGGAACAAAATGGCCTCCGCGACGGGGTGAGGGCGCAAGCATGCTGGGAAATGGAGTCCTGTGAGGAGCAAGCACTCTCCAGAAGATACCGGTATTAGCGCAGAGAGGAGAAAAACTACATTTCCCGAAAGGTATAGGGAGAGCCTCTGGGAACTGTGGGCAAAGTGGTAAGGAAGTACCGATGGAAGGACGCCAATTTTTACCAAGCAAGGCCAATGGTCAGTGCGACCCTGAGAAATTTGGTCACGCACTTCCTGTTGCTGAGTGGAAGGCGGACTGCAGAAGCACGTTCTTGCTGCATTCTCCAAAGGACATTTCCCAGAAGGCCTCTCAATTTCCAATTTCTGTCAGGAAAGGCTGTAAGGTTTCATGTGACGCTGAGTTTGATGACGTTATTTACGGATATTCTCACCGGCGGATATTATACAAGGGCAAACGGTCTGCTCCCTATAAATGCATTTTCCAGAATCGTCCTCAAGTAGCGTGGCGGTGTCAAGCAGCCCTGGAATCCCGGGAAATCTAATGGCATACTTACACCTGCTGCCATTACTCCGACAGGAAGCTCAGGCGTACTTCCAGCCATAAAGGGCTCCGTTTCCGCTGCCCACTGCGAACCAGGGCATGGTGGGAATTGCGTTTTCAGTTCCGGAGCTTGGGGGGTGGAAATTCTGTCATGCAAGGCTAGACGGGCACTAGGTTGTACCACACTGGGAAATCTGGGTAAAGGCCCTACTGTCCTAAAAGGGAATTGCCAGAAGGCCGCGCTCCAGCCCAGAGAACCGTGGACGAGATGCAGAGGAACGGGAGATAGCCGTTGAAAGACTACACTTCCCATCATGTAAAACTGTATGCCATGCTTTGTGGAGCCCTGAGCAAGTCGGCCAGGTGATGGCGTACTTATTGTTGGCATTACCTTAGAGCTCACAGGAAAACATACCTGGTAGCCGAAAGGGGACTACATTTCCCAGAGGGCCTTGGGCCATCCGCGGCGAAATGTAAATGTGTAGGCGGCAAACTGCGTGCCACTCTGGCCAGTTTGCATGTTAGCGCAGGCAGGAAATTACTGCTCCTCTTTCCCTTTACTGACTACATTTCCCAGCGTGCCCAGGATATGCCTCGGAGCCAGTCCCGAGCGACCTGGAATCTAGGCTTGGCTTCCTAGCCGGAGCCAGGAAAACTTTGTGTGAAGAAGCCGCCGACCAGCAGGGGGCGCGCGCCAGGCGTAAGAATTAGACCTGGCCGCGCTTGGCGTCGGAGGCAGAGAAGGGGACCCCACTCGCCCTGAGCGTACTTTGCGACATGTCCCCCTTTTCACGTTAGGTAGTATTTTCTTTTTTAAAGAAGCACGTACGTCAGCCCCGTGGACGCCGTGTCCTCTGAGCCCGGCAGAGGGCGTCGGGCCCCTGCAGCTAGATACGTCACTGCTGAGCCATCGCTCCTGTCCCTCAGGGTCTTTTTAAAGAGTAGTTTGAGGTAGCTTGGGCTGACGTCAATTCCCGGGACTCAGTGATGGAAGGTGAGAGCTCACTTCCAAGGGTTGTCTGACATCCATCCATGTGCTGCGACACACGGGCACACAGACCCAGAGTGGGAGAAAACTGCCGTTCAAATTTGTCATGTGTGCATACATGCGCGCCACAGCACACAATTCTCGCCTTCCACCACGTGGGTTCAAGTCTTCAGGCTTGGCCGCAGCGCCTTTGTCTAACTATCTCACTGGTTACTTTTCTTTGTTTTCAATCTGATTTGCTTTTTTGTCCTCCCTCAGGCCTCCAGGGGACCTGCTAGGAGGAGACCCGGTGGGAGCTATGCTTGGGGGCACTCCACCATTGTCTGCCTCCTTGTGTCTGTACCTCATGAGTCTGTCCCTGTTCTCCCTGTCTCCTCCTCAGCTGCAGACATCTACACCGCCACGCAAGGGCACGTCCTCGATACCTGCCAGGAGCACCTCATTGGGTGTGTTAACCATAAGCCACTTCCGTGCCCCTTACCACCACCTTTATCATATAGATATTCTGTTGAGCCACCTGTACCAGTCACACAAGAGACTGTTAGGGTTTTGCCCTGTCTCTCCCCTTATGGTGTGTTTAGTAATTAAAAAAAAAATTTTTTTTTTAACGTTTAGAAAGTAGAGAAAATGATAGCACAAACCCCAGGGTAGCCAAGCCAAGAACAGGGTGGCTTTGCTCATTCTGTAAATTTTTACTGATAAGAGATTGGAGGAGGAAAGGCATTTATAACCTGGGCAGTTAGGATGCAGGAAGAGAGAGGAGAGAGAGGAGAGAGAGAGAGGCTGGGAAGGAAGTGGGGGAGGCTTATGGGAGGTTAAACCAATGTGCTTTGGACAAACACCGGTTTGTTCTCATGGTGCTGGGAATGGACCCCAGGGCCTCTGCAAATGCTAGGAAATTTCTTGCCACTGAACCACTTCTCTGACACATTATGTAGTTTTTAAATATGTATTTTATTTTTATTTGTGTGATGTGAGTGCAGGTGTCCTCCAAGGCCAAAAGAGGGTGAAAGATGCCTGGAACTGGAGTTACAGATAGTTGGTTGAGCCACCATGTGGATGCTAAAGCCAAGCTCCATCCTCTGCAAGATCAGCCCATGCACTAACCACTCAACCATCCCTGCATTTTTTTTTTAAAACTGCATTTTTGATAGTACATGCACATGCTTGCATGAAAGGCCGGAGGTTGCCATTGGTACTCTGCCCATCACTCTTTGACTTTAGTTTTTGATACAGGCTCTCAGTCAAACTAAGAACTCAGATATGGCTGAGCTCAGCATCCAGCTGGCTTGAGGATCTAGTCTCTACCTTTGGTCAGAGGCTAGGATAGCAGGTGGGTCCCACACCCACAGTCACACTCCAGCTGCCATACTTTACTTGCTGAGTGCACTCCCAGCCCTATGAAAGGTCTTTCTTATGTTGCCTTTAAGGTTGTGTGTGTGTGTTTATGTGTGTATCTCTCTGTGTGTATATGTGAGTGTGTTGTATATGTGTGTCTGTGCATGCATGTGTTTGTGTGTGCATGTGTGTCTCTGTATCTCTGTGTATGTGTGTGCATGCATGTATGTGTTTGTGTGTGCACACCCACACATTGTGTCTTGATTAGAGGATAACTTGGAAGAATCCAGTTTCTCCTTCTACCATGTGGAGCCTGGGGATCAAATTCACAGTCTGTCTTGGATGTCACTGTGTAGCTCAAGCTGGCCTCTAATTCATCCACCTTTTCCTGTGTCCTCTGTGTACAGAGGGCCCTGGTGTCCCTTCCTTTCCATGTAAAGACCCCAGTGCTTGAGGGCCAAAGACCTCAGCCATTGACCTCTTGGCTCCTTCAAATACAGTCAAATTCCAACAACTTTAGATTTTTTTTTTCTGAGACAGAGTTTCTCTGTGTAGCCCTGGACCTCTCTCTGTAGCCCTGGCTATCCTGGAACTCGATTTGTAGACCAGCAGGCTGGTCTCGAACTCAGTGATCCTCCTGCCTCTGCCTCCCAAGTGCTGGGATTAAAAGTGTGCGCTGCCACACCTGGCTAATTGCTGTGGAGTAAATCCTTCTGTACACTGTGAATATGTGTCACTATGATTGGTTTAATGAACAAGCTGATTGACCAATAGCTGAATGAGATAAAGTTAGGTGGGAAAATCAACTGATAATGAAGGGACGAGGAAAGGTGGAGTCAGAGGGTCACCAGCCGGATGGGGAACAAGTCAGACAGACAGCAAAATGGGATAGAGGTAAAAGCCATGAGCCTTGAGGCAGCACACACACATTAATCCCAGAACTCGGGAGGCAGAGGCAGGTGGATCTCTGTGGACTTTGAGGCCAGCCTGGTCTACAGAGTGAGTTCCAGGACAGCCTCCAAAGCTCAAAAAACAAAACAAACAAAAAAACAAAACCAAAGCTGGATTAAATTTTAAGAGAGTAATATGCCTGAGATCATAAGTAATTGTGAGTTAGCAGGACAACTCTGCCTATAGCTAACAACTTTAGATTATTATATTTTCTTTTTAAATTGTGTTCAGCCTGCCATCATCATGGACACCTGTCATCACAGCAGGAATAGAGGGGTGGGGAATGAGGTGGGAATATGATGAACAGGCTAGCTTGGAATATAGCAAGACTCTGTCTCATATTTAAAAATTGTGTCTGACCTGGTGAGGGTGCTTCGGGGGTGAAAATGCTTCCTGACAAACACACTGACCTGATTTTGATCCCCAGAACCCATGTGGTGGGAGAAGGGCACAAAGTCCTGCAACATGTCTATGACACGTACATGCTTGCAACCAGGATAAGTAAGCATGAAAATACATTTCTATATAAAAACTATATTGAGTCTGGACAGATACATCTCCCCCCACTTCTCTCAGTTTTTGCTTTAGACAAAGTCCTATTATTTAGACTAGGCTGGCCTTGAACTCACAGAGATTCACTTGCCTCTGCCTCCCAAATTCTGGAATTAAGGGCCATCGCATCACACCTGCAGATGCATTCTCTATCTATATATAGTCCATAGAGGTTGTGGCAGAACAGTCATGGATGGACACGGTATTTACATCGAGGCCAGTTGTGAGTCAGACAGAGGCTGGAATTTATAGGAGGATGAGCAGGCTCTGGGGAGACACCGTGTTATAGGCATTAGCAGCTGGGAAGAGACAGAAAAACTCAGAAAACTTGTGATGACCAGAGTAGCCAGGAGAAAAAAATCAGTGTTTGATGCCAGTGTGTTTTAGAAAACTAGGATATGGCCCTCACCTATCATCTCCAGCACTGGGCTGGAAGTGCCAAGAACTGGAATTACAGGTGGGCTGCACAAGGTCCAGCTCCGGAAACCATAGGACTTGGTGGGCATCGAGTAGGGACACCTCAGAATGAATTGGGCTCCTCCCAACATGAGCCAGACTTCAAAGGTGGCTGCAGTTCCCATAGTGGACAGCAGGGGCGAGAGCCTCAATTATCACAGACCTAGGAAAGCCCCGTGTCAGTTCTGTAAATTCTTATGTTTTTGGTTGTGAGCCTAGCCTTTAACGGCTGAGCCATCTCTCCAGCCCCAATTCTGTAAATTCTATTAGTGGATAAAAGGTAACTGAGGCTTGTTTTTCACAGAGCCACGCCCCCACCCACTCACTGGGGGATTCTAGGTGGAGCTCCACGCCCCCACCCCCTCACTAGGGGATTCTAGGTGGAGCTCCACCCCTGAGCAACATCCAGAGTCATATGCAGTTTC